CGAAATTTTTCCAAACATACGAAAATTTTCCTTCTCTCTCCCCTTCGTACAAAACTGCATTACCCAAATTTTCTCTCTCCTCTTCGTATGAAACTCAACTGCATCCTACGTTCAATAAACTCAAATACACCCTTTGTACGAAAATCATCTGCACCATATGAACGAAATTTTTCCCAGTGAACAGTAACTCTTCGTATGAAATTTCTTATCTTTCCCAAAACAAACACTCTTCGTTCAATAAGCCCAAATACACCCTTCGTATCTTCAAACTCGATTTCCACCCCGTTCATTGTTTTCCAGTTCATCCCAAATCAAAATTATCAATTTGTTAATAACACTTGCAAACTTTCGTCTTTCTAACACTAACCCAGTTGTCGTTATTATCACAGTACACCACAGCGACCAAAATCGACTTTGAATTATCGATTTCAAAAACGAAAACATCAACCCGATTAACATCATGCCTTCACTTTTTCAGTTCAACCATTAGATCCCAAACCATTTAATAACCCATCGAACCTGTTCATCATCGGTGTACCAACACAAAAGCGAATCATTCAAAATCGACATCAATACACGAACTCGATACCATTCAAAATTGACATTGTTCCCAAATCTTCACTTTTCAGTCAAGATCAACTCGACATCAGTGACTTTTGACTATCCAAGATCAACAATCGAAGGCTTTTTAACGTCACAACCCTTTACACACGAACAAGAACACATCAAATTTTCGAAATTAAATCCCAAATTAAGTATGATGTCGACATCAATAGCCCATATTCATATTGCAACAAACGATTTCGACATCCAATTCATCAATTCATTACTTTAAATCTCGACTTTGACTTTCTGCTAAGTTTGACTTTTCGAAATCAACTGTAAGCAAACATGAAATTGATGTTTCTAATGCCAAATTTCAGATTAAAACATGAATGTTTCACTGTTCTTCATCACCTTCAAGTGTTCTTAGTCAAGTTCATCCAAATCAAAAACTCAATTTTTGATTTTTCAATTTTGACTTGATCATAATCGATTTCTATGATTTAACACAGTATATTGAATCGATTCACAAGAACGAATTAGCAAGTACTTCAAATCGATTAACAGGAACGTGAAGTTGAAAATAAAATTTCAAGAACGAGACACGAATGTCCGATGGTACAACTGGATAAAGTAAGAGACGATGATGAACGATAAACATCAGTGACAGCGAATTTGGATCAAACACATTCAATGTCTTTTGGGCTCAAACGGATACATGAACAGTAATCGAATATTAATTTTGGGCTCAAATCAATCGGATATGAACAGCAAATAGCACTTAATTGGGCTTAACATATGAATAGATGACTTCAGATCTTAACAAACAGAATTTTGGGCTTGAAATTTAATCGATGAACAGTGATTTTCAAAAACTTTTAGAATTTGATTTTATTTAAGAATTTTTGATCTAATCAACAATAAATGGATCAAACAATGGGTGAAAACTAATTTTGATCCATTGAAACAAAACGATCAAACAATCAAACACGCAATGCACGATTCAAATATTACGAGAGATCATAGAGAGACTCACCAAAAATTGCTTCCATTGTGACAAAAGTTGCCAAACCGAGAATCGTTCTTCAAAAATCACCTTGATCTTGAAGACCCGCTCTGATACCAATTGTAGTGACATAAGAACATGGTTTGGCATGCGGAATTAAAGTTTGCACAATGAACATGGTGATTTGGGTGTTCAAGAGATGTATTGAATATGTATGGTGTTACAAAAAAGGACATAGATCTACATCTAAATAAATAACACACACTTACACACTCACTTTTACACCTCTCAAGCACACCGCTACAAGTGGTATGAACCCACTATTTATAGAGGTGTTTACATGTCTCTCTCTCACTCTCACTAACACATGGGTCTAAAGGCTAATGCACCACATGCAAGTGGGTCTACAAGAGTCAAACCATTACAAAGTCATACATGAAGAACTTTGCACCCCAACAAGAACAAAAATAAATTAGAATTAGTGAAAATCCATTAAAATAACAATAGTTCTGTAAGATTGAACGTATTCACATTAGTAAATAACATATTCTCTTAGTAATTCTCATAAAATAGCATTATCCACACGTCCACACAATAGTTGTCCATCCACATTATAACCTAGCCCTATATATATATATATATATATATATATATATATATATATATATATATATATATATATATATTAAAATATCATGATTTAGTTTAAGTGTTTGGCTTTTGTTTGAACAAGTGAGACCTTTATTAACTTTTTATTGACTGGAAACAACAGGTTGTTACAACCTATACAATTTTTAAACATACACTTAGCAATTAACCTTGCCAATATAGACTCCAAGTAACACGTAACATCCAATTCCTCCTAGGCTACAAGGCATCACACAAATCAGAAAATTCTATAATGCAATTCTTGAAGGTATCCTTAGCCCTATTCTAGCATGCAATTCACATAAATGCGTAATACTCATGCATGGGTATTTTTGGAATCACTTACTTGAGCTCGAATGATTGCATACATTGCACCCCTTTTGTAACGTCCCAAAAATTCATAGTAAAGGTTTCATTTTTAAAACAATAAACTATACAAACGAGTTGTTCTAAAACCTATCAAAGTGAATATATCATTTAAACATCATAGTAAAAATCACAAATAAAGAATGTTATGTGCCAACCATAGTATTACAATTACTATCATGCCATGAGCAGTATCATGGTCTTTCCTTTCCAAGTTAGGGGCGAAACCTCGGGTCTTACAAACAAGTGCCAAGAGCCACCTCCTGGTCTTCCATGCAAGCATCACAAAGACAACTAGCATCCTACATATAACTGCCAAGGTCCAGACCTTGGTCTTGCATATAATTTGCTGGGAGCCATAATCAGATCTTTCATGTAATTTCCAGGGGCTACCACCTGGTCTTCCTATATAAAATAATCCAGTAGGTCGTCATTGGTGTCTTCGACCCACAAGTACAGTGATGAGACTCACCTAACTCACAAAGTCGACTAAAACTCAACTCAGTACCACGCTCACCATCGTTAACTGCTCTCTCTCTCTCTCTCTCTCTCTCTCTCTCTCTCTCTTTGCCAAATGATGGGTGCTAAAAAACTCCTAACAATCCACACAAGGTGAACCCTAATTCTACCTTCTAAAAAAATAGAAATTTGACCACAAAGTCAACCCATGCCAAAAGTTGATGGTCAAAGTCAAAGTCAACAACCCACAATGCCAACTATCAAGCCTCACTTCGTGACTAGCTCGTAGTCACGTCGTGGGAGTCCACTCGATCCAATTCCAACTCGAATCGACCCAACTCAACCAAATCAGTCATGGAAAATTCAACCAAATCGACCCAACTCAAATCGACCTAACCGTTGACTCGCCGTTTACTTCTTGCACAGTGAAATGAGGTCGAGGAAGAAGGAGACGAGTTAAATGAGAGTCTAACTTATATATATATATATATATATATATATATATATATATATATATATATATCATTAAAATGACGTGGACCAAATTTACACATCATTAAGACTTTCAACTTAAAATAAATGCCAGATCGAATGTGCAACCGGGAAACCTTTTTAAACCAGTCACAATTGTGTAATTGACAGCTACAGTAACATTTAAGTGGTCTATTGTGCAAAAAAAAACATATTTGGTCAAATTGGATCATACCCAAAACTTAATAGTGTGCTACAGTGACATTTTCCCGCTCGAAAACCTACCATTGAACTTGATCTGCAGAGCCGATCTTGAGGATTTAAGTATCCTCAAATGTCCGAGACGAGCCAGAAAAAAAGAACACTTATATATAAATATATATGTTTCAGACGAGACTTGAACCCTCAACCTCAAGAAGGGAAAGCAACACCTTATATCGCTGGGCTAGAAGCCCTTTGGTATCTCCTCTCTACTAGTTGATACTTTATTCTAGGGGTGTGCGCGGTGCGGTTTGGTGTGGTTTAGAGCCAAAACCGCAAACCGCACCGCGAACATTCAAAACCGCATTATGCGGTGCGGTTTGGTGCGAGCGGTTTATGCGATTCACATGTGGTTTTGCGGTTTGAGTAATTATTTACTTTAAATTTAATAACAATACTATCATTGTCGTCACCAACGGCTCACTAAGTGGTCATTAAGAAATTTGGTGGTCATAGAATTGTGGTCATTAACTACTTATGAATATACATAAGTTAAGAAATCATAGTGACCATAAAATAATGATCACTAATGTTAGTTGAAAATGAAATTGAGATAAAAAATATGGTCACTCCTTTAAATTTTGCAATAAAATTTGGATTAATTAAGATTACATTTTATTAATTTAGGACCTGTCAAATTATTTTCGAATATATATATATATATATATATATATATATATATATATATATATATATATAATATATATATATATATATATATATATATATATAATCATTAATTAATTTTATCAATGCGGTGCGGTTTAAACCGCAATTTTGTAATCGTAAACCGCAAACCGCACCGCATAATGCGGTTTAACAAAAATACAAACCACAAACCGCACCGCGAGTGTTTTAAACCGCGTTATGCGGTGCAGTTTGGTGCGGTGCGGTTTGTGCAGTTTATTACACACCCCTACTTTATTCTTAAAACATACATTATTCTTCCTGATAGTCGGCTCCGTGAGTGGAATCGAAGTTACATACTCTTATATGATTTGACTTGATTATTGAAGTTTGTTAACGAAACAAATATCTTAGAACATTCTCCATGATTTTCTTTTATAATCATACAAGATCTTATAATCATACCAGGTTATCATCATTCGGCTGTTGTTGTCACAAATAAAGTTTTAATTGTTTTTTTAATAAATACTGACCAACACAAGATAAAAGTTTTTGGAGCAATTCGTTAGTCAACCTTTGAACTCTACATCATGGTTCGATTGTGATAACACCCACCATTTATAACCTAACCGCCTTTGGGAATTAAAACGAGGGAATATAATTTTCTTTTTGTCTTTAAGTTTTTCAAAATGTTGACTGTTGTAGTATCAAACCCCCCGCCCTAAGCAAAACCCATGGCCATCGGAACGCCAAAATTCTCGCCGGTGCTCCTCCACCTCCTAACCCTCATCCTACTCACCACACCTCCGCTCTCTTGCTCCTTCCCCATCCCCACCACCTCCTTCCACGCCCTCTTTTCTCTGTCCGACTCTCTCCTCACCCGCGTCGCCAACCTACGCGCCTCCCGAGGTGACATTTCCGGGTCACTCAGGGCCAGATCCATAGCCCAGAAGATCGAGAAACACAGCCATGGGTTTAGCTTCTATGGAGTCATGTGGTCTCTTGGCTGGGACTACATGAAAAACTACGCATGGCGAGACATAGGAATAACGTCCTCTGAAATGTTCGGTGCTGTGTCCGATATGAGCGAATTGATTAGGGGTTTGAGTGAGTTGACTCGGATGGAATCGGAGGCAGAGCGGGTAGCGTGGGTGCGTCGGAACTATGGTAGCGTGCTCACAGTTTCCAAGTCCCTCTTCAATCGCTTACTCAGAGTTTTCAGTCGATCGGTTAGTTTTTTTTGACACATTTCAAACTTACATTTTTACATAATTTCATCATTTTGTCACTATATAGTTCTCAATAGGTTTTGGTGACCTGAATTTGGATTCATTCACCTCAATTGCTCATAAATCTTCCAACATTTTCCAAAATTGAGATTGTAAATGTTATGTGAAATCAACAACTGAAACTGAAACAAGATGCGGATACGAATGCAGGGTCCATTGAAGGATGCGGTTGAGATGATACAAGCAGAAATTGTGGATGGTGGGTTGCTAAAGGATTGCCTTGAACTGGGTAGCAGTGATTTAAAGGGTGTGATTCAAATACTAAAAGATCTAGCTTTACAATACTCTTCTACAACTGGGAAAACCGAGTTATAGTAAGTATCTAACTTCCATTATATATTGTGTTTTCTTGAGAAAAAGGGAAATTTGTTGTGCTTTGTTTGTTATTTCTTTAGTATGTGGAAACTATCAACAATCATTGCGTAAACTTCAATATCCAAAGAAGCAATGTGCCACTTCTTTTTGACTTAGCAGATTTAATGGGAATCAACCTCTTTTAATTTTTTTCCATTGAAATGTTGAATGTATAAATGATGTATGTTAATAATATTAAGGAGTAAATTACTGAAATCGTCCCTATGGTTTGGTTAAAATTACGTGTTTGGTCCCTAACTTTTGTTTTGCACTCGGACAGTCCTTATAGTATGTTTTTGTTGCGGATTTGATCCCTGCTATACCTAAAAAGACTAAACCTAAAAAGACTAAATTACCCTTACTAATTCTTTTCTTTAATTAGTTTATTGGCTTTTATTATTTATAAAATAGAAAAAGTAATAAGTTTATGACCCACCCCTCACATTTATCTCCTGACCTTCAAGTAGATCCCCTCCATCGTGTTTTTACAGCCATCATATCCTTCTGGTGAAAATCTCTTCATCAGAACCACCGATCACTGATTCTTTCTCCCACAAACGTGTAATCTTGCTAAAACCCTAGAATCAAAGGCTAGGGTCCTCTATCATAGCTCCACCTCTTCTCCCTAACCCCCCGATTGCATCTGGTTTCATCCCCAATTCCGACTAGAATGAGATTGAGGACGCTAAACCATCACCGGCGTACCTCTTCGCCACCACTGCCAAAATAGTCGAGCACCGATCACTGATTCTTTCTCCGATGAATGCGTAATCCTGCTAAAACCCTAGAATCAGAGACTCAGGTCCTCTACCATAGCTCGACCTCTTCTCCCTAACCCCCGATTGCATCTGGTTTCATCCCCAATTCCGACTAGAATGAGATTGAGGACGCTAAACCATCACCAGCGTACCTCTTCGCCACCACTGCCAAAATAGTCGAGGATATCTACAACAAGAACGAACCATCACCAGTTGCATAAGTTTGATTTTGATTTGGTTCACCGGATTCGATTAGAGACTTCAATTTCTGGATTTTGGTTTGGAGGTTTAGGTTCATCAGAGCAAGGTTTGAGTATTTAATTTCATGAGTGCTAGGATTTTGGATTCGATTTCTGTAACGACTAAGCCGCCATTTATGGGTTCGATTTCTTAATTCAAGTTCATTAAGCTCATCATGTTCATTTTTTGTTTTGAGTGGTTTGATTTTGATTTCATCTATAGGTAATTTGGTTTTAAATGATTTGATTTTGAGTTCATCCATTATTTTTGGGTTTTGATTTCATCAATGATTTATGGTTTGAGTTTCGATTCATCTGTGATTTCTGAGTTTAATTTATGGGCATGATAATTGGTTTTAATTTATGGGTTTGAGTTTCCTTGCATCGATTTAGGCACTGAGTATGATTTTTGGGGTTTGATTTTTTTGTTTAATTTTTAGATGCAAAGTAGGGGAGGTGTTTGTGGGCGATGTTACTGCAGTTGGTGTTGGTGTTGATCTTTGATGGCGGAGGATATAGAAGGGTGGCGGTGGTGTTATGGCAGTGGTGATGAATTGTTGGATTTCTGGGTTTGAGTGGAAGTGTCCGACTGGGGTGGTAGTAGAAGGCAGATGTTGATGGCGGAGGTGCTGATTAGAAGAGTGCATATTTAATAATTTTCTTTAAAACAGTAGTAATAAATCAATAATAAATAAAATGAAAAAATAAATAAATAAGGGTAATATGTCTTTTCATGAGGGACGAAAATCGCAACAAATGAATACCACAGGGATGGTCCGAGTGCAAAATAAAAGTTAGGGACGAAACACGTAATTTTGACCAAACCATAGGGACTATTTCAGTAATTTACTCAATATTAAGTGCTTTCATTTTTCAATATAATTAACCCTTTTTGAGTTATGGTAAGCGTAGTATTTTACTTATCTGGCTAGAAGTAATGGTGATCTTAAAATGACTTTATCTTAGAGTTGTTACAAATCAAACATAATATATAGTAATTACAAATACAAATGCTTTTTATAGATAAAAATGTTAAATCACAAACATCTATTTATATACGAGTTCTTCTTTTTACTTAATGCAGAAAAGACTTTATAGAGAAAGTTAGGGAAAAGAGGCTTTCTTATTAAGTATTAACTTGTTACAAATTTGTACTTATTTATATTTCTTCTAACTGCGAGAATTAGCAACATACTTTTATTTATTTGAGTATTATAGCATCCTATTTTTATTTCTTTTTCTTTTAGAAAAATGTTTTTTTTTTAATCAAGGCATTACAATTTATAATGTACTTCCAATTTCTTATTAGGAGATTATACTTCAAATGTTATTTTTAAAAAAGACACACAATAAAGAACGATGGAAAAAAATCTGGAAGACAACTTGGAACCTTAATTAGAACTTGGACCAGTTTCAAAAAGGTTCTTAACAAAATCACAAGTTCAGATCGAAAAACCACAAAGACTTCAAAATTTATACTAAACAAGATGGAACAAAATAACATGAAATTAGACTCTAATTTTCCATTGTGTTTTTTCACTTTGCACCCTTTAGAATTATTTAGTATTATTCCACTACCCTCGTCCTTGAATATTCATATTTTCATCTGCGTCTTTTCTTTACTCTGGATGCAATTGAAAACGAAAAAACACATCTACGTCTTTTCTTTACTCTGGATGCAATTGAAAACGAAAAAACAAAAGTAACATTTCTACTATTATTTCCACTTCAAGCTTGAAAATATTAGCTTTTTTACTTTTAAATGTTTGACCACTTACTTGATTTGGAGTTAGAACTTGTACTTCTTGATTGATTGACTGTAAAGCAAAAACATATAAAGCATGATTTTCTACACGGGTTGAAATGACATGATAATAGACAACCTTGGTTATTTGGGAACAAAATTAACGTAACATTTATAACCCATGAAACATGAAACCCAATAAGATCTATGAAAAACACTTGATTAATCAAGAAAAAGTCTCAAATAAATAAAATGCAATGCGTCAAGATATATATATTAATACCATGTAGTTGTTCATTTGTTTCTGGTTTTTTGATGATATCATTAATATGGACGTCCGTCGAAAAAAATATGTAACCAAAAACGATGTTCACCACCCTGTCAAAAACAAAATCACACACACATGTAACACAAATTACATAATCTATAGATGAATATGCTTACAAAAATAATTTTCAAATGACTCACATGTTTACTAAAATTACTTGTAGATGGGTGATCATGCCTGGAAATAAAAACAAAAAGGATTATATGGATAAATCATCGGTAACTTGATAATATAACCCTAATTGGCAAATGGGGCATAGTTAAAGAGTACCATTAAATCACTTTTTGTTTGTTACGTAGGACAAAGATTGGTTTGATATGTATTGGGAAGTGTGATGTTAAAGGGACCAAAATTGTAATTTTTTGTCCCACCTAAAAATATACTTCCTCCATTTCAAAATTATAGTCCATCTTTCATTTTTGGTTTGTCCCAAAATAATAGTCCACTTCTAAAAATAAATAACATTTTTATCAAAATACCCTCTAATTATTACTTAACCAACTAAACATTTAATGGAACATTAAATGCAAAGTAATGACAAAACTGTCATTTTATTGTATAAAGTTAGTGGTAATTAATGTTTCCTTAATCTGTGTGTTTTTTTTGTCTGTGGACAATAATTTTGGGACAGAGGGAGTATAAAACAGAGAAATGAAATTTTCAGCAAACCTGAATCCAAAGATGTTCTTAGTTTTGAATGGCCACTATCTTGAGGGGAAAAATGCGTTCTGTTAACAATTAAAAGCAATATCACCTCAGTATTTTGTCTAACTATCAAAAGACTTGATTAATTTACCCGTTTTATAACATTTTTATTGTCAAAGATGTGTTACAAGTTACCTAGTAATGCTCGTATATGATTCCCTAAGGCTTGATTGATTGTCACTCAATGGTTGCTGATTTGTGGTTGTATGGAAAAATATAAGAAATATGAGAATTTAGAAGCACTAACTCCTACAAAACATAACTAAGAAAAACCGTTTTTTTTTCTAAGAGATCACCTGCAAAGAGTGTTTTTTGAGTGCTTCGAGTTTTTTCTAACAAAAAAAGGTCCAATAAGGTATATGTTTGTGTCTTTCCAACCACAACCCCCAATATTCCATGTATAATCCATCAAGCGCTGTTAAATGGAATTATAAAAATTGGATATACTTTTGAAGACAAACTAAAAGACTAACTTTTCAAGAAAATAAAACGAGGAGATGAAAACTAGATGGAAAATGTAAAGTGCTTATATAGTATAATACGTTGTTTTTCATCAATGTTTGCCTTCTTTGCAAAATCATCAATAACTCTTTTAAAGCCACATGCCCTGAAGAAATCAAGAAAGTATCTTGTCAACCCGAAAAAAGAAAAATCACACACACATAACAATTAATTACAGAATCTACAAACATATATAGTCATATACTTACAAAAATAAACTTAAAATGACTCACACCAAAATCCCGCCTTTAGCATCATCACTAATCTCCATTAATGCCAAGAATCTGCAAATAAATTAAGAGTGAAGAATGGTTGCGTATAATTCATAACAAAATACCGCATATTGTTCCAGAAATATTCCAAGATCATATTTGACATAAGTAATACAACATAAAAAACAACAAACTAGTAAGAACTCTAAATAAGGAAAAGTAAATAGAACAACCCAAAATTATTGCAATCCCCAGCCTTAAATCTTCTTTTTCCTTATCAATAAAGTTTTTGGGAGTTGCATATATTTCTAAAAGGGGGAAGAGGGCCTTTTAGCGTAGGACCTTATGATTCATGGTTTTATGTACATTGATGTCAATTAAATGAAAAATCAGCACAATGACAAAATAGTTTAGTCCGCATGTACAATTTTTGTCCTTCAACTATGCTTAGTGGTAGTGGGTGTCTAAAGGAGTATATATATATATATATATATATATATATATATATATATATATATATATATATATATATATATATATATATAGAGAGAGAGAGAGAGAGAGAGAGAGAGAGAGTTAAATTCAAATGAGAACACTAAATAAAGTGAGAACATGAAAACACCATTTGTATGCTATTATTCTTCTTTGAATTTAATATGTATAGTATTGTAGTAATTACAATGTGAATATATTCAATTTTATATTGCTATTCTACTATAAAATTTATATATATGTAGTAATTTAGTAAATTTTAATGTGAATGTTAATATGTGATTGTTTATATATTCGTTGATGAATAATGTCATAAAGTTGTACATATAAAATTTTAATGTGAATATTAATGTGTGATTGTTCATATATTTGTTATGAATAATGTCATAACGTTGTATATATAAAATTTATAGCAGAATAATAACATAAAGTAGTGTTCCCACGTTTTCACTTTATTTAGTGTTCTCATTTGAACTCAACCCTATATATATATATATATATATATATATATATATATATATATATATATATTATATATATATATATATATATATATATATATAGTAGCACAATATTGCTTGTCACTTTTCAACTAAGTTGTATTTAGGACACATGAATTAGTTTCTAGCAAAGGTAGGCATTTATCAAAGCTCCACTACAGCCAAGCCGCCTAAGTATGTCAATTTTTCCACATATACGAATGCACAACAAATAAAACTTATGCAATTTAAAAGTTTACATTATGCAATTGTCAACAATATCCCATAAACATTAATCACATTCCAAATTCAACAAATTTAGTGCAATGAACCCCTTGTAAATCACATGAAACTCACCTCAACGTTGTTTGCTCTAGGGATGGACATCGCAAGCAATCTTGAACTCCTACAAGTCTCAAACAAGAATTTCAAAGACAATGTAACACTTCATAGAATCTAAAGGTCCCCAACACGTCCTATTGCATACTAGGTTCAATCTTCCTATGCCAAGTTCGATCAAACAAGGTTTTCACTTATAATTCAGCTTTTTATACAACATAACAAATTTTATGATTTACATAATTCCCAGCATCATTTGATGATTTCTCTGAGTACAAAAAGAAACGACAATTTTTCTAATAAACATAATTTTATGCCAATTTGGAAAATCTTCAAATATTACGAATAAAATAGTGCCCAGATCTTACACATAGTCCTTGCTTGCATCTAAATGTAACTAACGTAACGTTATAGTATTCTAACGAGAATAACTATTTGAAAATTTTTAAATATCAAAATTTGCATTTCTAAATAAATTCCGTATTATTAATGTCATGGGTGAGGACCATAACCTTCAAGAAAAATATAATTCTATTTCAGACCAAATTGAAATGTCAATTCCTATGGAACATATTCATCACTACAACAATGAGTTTGAGTTCATCATTACCATACCTGCAATCAAAACCTTATTGTTTCTTCTCCGCAAACTTGTTTCAAACTTCTTCTGCATTGTGCTGAAACTTGTTTTATACCCCATGACTTTCCAATTTCAACACCACCCCTTGTTGTTTCCTTCAAAATCAAATTTAAATTATCAATTTTGATTTGCTTTTCTGTATTTAACTTTATCTTCCCATGAATAAATTGCCAATGCCACATTTTATGACAGTTTTTTGTAGACTATAACTTTTAGATCAAATATTATGTTCAAAATTATGACCAATAATAACTAAAACCGAGTATGGCCCATATCATGTCATCTTTCTTCACCCGACC